CCTTGGCTGCCGTACACTGCCGGCTGGGGCCCGTCGCTGGCTGCCATCCGCCGTGGCTTGTTTGCACCCGGGCCAGGGAAGGGGGCGACTGAGCAACCGGGGACCCCCTCTCCAGGCAGAAGAGGAGGGGGAGGGGGTTAGGGTCGTGTCCTCATTACCCCTAGGATTTTTATGGCATTTGGGGTAATTTATCCCTGTTCCCTGACCACTGCCCTAAAGCATTCCTTGAAAATTCTTGATGCGATTTTATGAATGATGATGGAGTAGAACTACCATCCTGAATAAAACCCAGAAGCAGTTTTAAGTTTGAGTTTTGTTTCCAGGCTTTGAAGTATTTTGTCATTTTCCTAGATCTGTTTTTAACCATGGTTATTTGAGCTGGGGAGGGATGCAGTGGTGAACTATCAAGCTACAGTCAGAGCAGTATGTGTGGTTGTTTTTCAAGCACTGGCTGAACTGATTGACGGTGCTGAAGTTTAATGAAAACCTTAGTTCCTTTTAGTTTAGTACATGGATGGGCATTGTATGCTCCTCCAGATATTACTGGGCCACAGTTCCTATAATACCAGTGGTTCCCAACCTTGGGTCCGAGATGTTCTTGGGCTAAACCTCCCAGGAGCGTTCACCACTAGCTGTGTTAGCCAGGATTGCCATCAACATCAACATCAACATCAACATCATCATCAGGAAGGCCATGAGTTCTGTACCCTGGGCTGAAATATCTTTGCCACCTTTCCCCTCATACTTTATCTGTCTTTAACAAAAGTAAAATGGGCTGAAATTGAGCAGGTGGGCTTTTTGTAATCTCAGGAGGTTTAAAGATAAAGAAAAGTACTTCTGTCTTGAATCAGTGGAGAAAAAGGTTCTTGTCTGGCATTCGGTCCCTATTGTGGCCAACCAGTTGCCCATGGAAAGCCCACTAGCAGGAGAGAGCACTCTACTGCTTGTGGTCTCCCACAGAGGATATTTAGAGGCATATTACCTCTGGCACAGGACGTTGTACAGGAAAACGTAAAAGGTATGTTCCAAATGTATATTTTATCTGTAGGTAATTTTTTATATAAACGACCAATTGTTTAAATACCTAAACACTTATCATAAACAAGTACAAAAATGATTTGCCTGGCAGGTTCTATCCAGAGAGTTTCAGGAAGTGATATTTTGTGAAGAAAATAATGATCTGGAGCATTGGTCAATAAACGACATTCTTCAGGGATCCTCGGACAGAAATGATCACAGCTTAAATGATCTGCCCTGAATCACTAGACCAGCAAATTTGAGTCCATAGTTTTAAGCACACTGAGAAAATCTCATTGAAATCAGTTAGGTTTTTATATGAAAATAAAAAACAAAAACCTACCACTTGTATTTTTTCATGAGCATTAACATTTTTCTCCTTTCCTTCCTCTCACAGAAATTCTGAAATTATATACCAAGCCAGAGGTAGAATGCTTGGAGCTCTTTGCTCGGAGTTTACAGCCTGGGTGGACCAGCTGGGGCAATGAAGTCATTAAATTTCAGCACATGGATTACTTCAGTGCTGTGCAGAATAAGAGTAACTGACTTTATTCAGTGATATGATGTGTTGGGTTTGTTTTTCTTTCTGTACTCAACCTTTGCCTTTTTGGTACATTTGGAAACCATTGTCAATACTTTGAAAATCAGTATGAGCCAGTATACATTTACTTGCTTAGAGCTCCAGCTGCAGAAGCTGCTGTTGCAGTCTGATCAGGTACAGCTCACATGCAGTTACACACTTGATTGTGTGATCCAGTTGTGCCACCATTGCAAATCATGGAACAGGGCACTCGCCACTGTATTTTGAAATTGTTATGATAGTATAATGATAATACCTTCAGACACGTAATTCACTCCTTTTGTAACTGAATTTATATATCCTTCAGCATCATAACATGTGGAATTTAGTGATTTGGATCACACATAAATAGTAGCTGTGAAGAGCTGATTGTAACATTTGAAAATTGGACCTAAGCCTATACAGCGGTGCCTCGCTTAGCGATTGCTCCGTTGAGTGATGAAATCGCTTAGCGATGGGATTTTGGCCATCGCCAGAGCAATTGCTTAGCGATGGCCCCTAAGGGGAAAAATCTCTTTGCGATAATCGCGGGGAAGTGATCATGGCAAAGCGACCCTTTTTGCACAGCTGATCGGCAGTTCCAAAATGGCCGCCGGAAAAACAAAATGGCCACCTGCTGTTTTACCTTGCTTTAAAGGCACCGAAAATGGCCGCCCCTATGGAGGATCTTCGCATAAGGTCAGTTTTTAAGCCCATAGGAATGCATTAAACACGTTTTAATGCATTTCTGTGGGCTTTTTAAAATTGCTTAGCGATTAAATCGCTTAGCAACGTTTTTCCTGGAACGGATTAATGTTGCTAAGCGAGGCACCACTGTATGTGAATTGGAATTGATCTTATTATAGAGAGGAAGCAAAGTGGCATGAACATGAGCAAAAGAGAAAAGGATAGATACAGTAGTATTTTGAATGGGCAAGACAGACGTTACTTGGTACCAGTAGAGAGTTTATTTTCCAGTGCTTAACGTAATTAAACTGAGTTCAGATCATTGGTACCTTTAACCCAGTATTGTCAACCCTGACTAGCAGTGGCTGCTCAGGGTTCCAGACAGAATCCTTGTCTAGCCTTATCTGGTATTCTCTGGTGATTTCCCATCCAGGTACTAACTAAGCCCAATGCTTATTAGTTTCCAAGGTCAGATGAGGTTGGATATGTTCAGGGTGATACAGTGATATGCATTCTGTACCCGTATGTCCCACAGCATGCATATGAGTGATATCCACGAATAGTGGCCTGAGATAGCAGATGACAGCACATGAGATTGGTGGGAAAATGGGCAAGTGTTGGAGAGAAAACATGGATGTGTCAGTCACTAGCTCCAGTGTATGCTGCCAGTGTGTTTGATGCTATGTATTTTGTTACCATTTTAGTACAGTGGTGCCTCGCAAGACGATATTAATTCGTTCCGTTAAAATTGCTGTTTTGCAAGAACATTGTCTTGCGAAACGCAGTTTCATATTGGAATGCATTGAAATCTATTTAATGCGTTCCACTGGGGGGAAAATCGTTGTCTTGTGAAGCATTGGTCTTAAAAAAAAAGTCTTGCGAAGCATAGACCAAAACATCATCTTGCGAAAATTGTCCATAGGAAAAACCGTATTGCGAAGCACAACAGCGATCGCAAATACCCATCATCTTGCGGATTAATCATCCTGTTAGGCAATCGTCTTGCGAGGCACCACTGTATTAGGAATCATGCACTTTGCTCCATCTTACTTAACACAAGAATGCTAAACCACACATGGTCTGTTCAAAATATTTTGTAATTCCTTGATTATTTAAAGGATTAGAAGTTGCCTAACTGCCATGCTCAATAAATTCTGCTCTGTGATATGTTTAAAGTTATTTGTTGCCTCTCCTTAAAGTCTTGTTTGGTATTGTCTCACCATCTTATAATTCTTCTTAATTTTTTAAACAAATTGCTTTAAATTGCAACTTATTACAGTTGTTTCTAATATGTCTTTAAATTGCTAACTGCCAGAACAAGGTGCTACACTTTAAAGCAGTGGTTCTGAACCTTGGGTCCCCAAATGTTCTTGGACTAAAACTCCCAGAAGCCTTCACTAGCTGTGCTGGCCAGGATTTTTGGGAATTGTAGTTCAAGAAGATCTGGGGACGCAAGGTTGGAAACCACTGCTTTAAAAGAACAGAAACATGACTGAGCCAACTAAATTGACTTATGGCTATGTCACATTCAAAGTCGTAGTCATGCTCAGTTTGGTTGCAGTGGGATTCCATCATGATTAACTTCAACTGGATTGACTTTTAAACTATATTTTAATTATTCTTCCTCTCCTGCCTCAATATGCAGATCTTCATTTTCACAGAATGTATATTCTGCTGATGCCTGCTTTTGTAAGGAAATATGTTCTAATTTGAAATAATTAAATCATTTTTAGAATGATAAACTATATTTTTTTCACCTTAGGGTTTGCTTTGTTACAAATGCAGTAGTAAATATTACCATATATTTGAATGCAACATTATAAGAGAAAGTAATCATTTTAAATACAACAAAATCAATCTTTTTGTCTAAAAATTAGATAAACTTCAGATTAGTTGGTATGCTGTTAAATTTTTAAATATGGTCTGGATGTTCACAAGTAGACTGGGTTTTTTGTACTTCAATAATAAAATAATCAATTTCAGAAATGTTTTTCTTGATACATTATTTACAAGCCTCTTATTTTTCAAATTGTGCATTTGATGTAAAGTGTAGGCTTTTGGCAGATATTGCTTGTCCTGTGGGAATTGCAGTGCTAAAACAATGTCATTCTGATATCAGTGGGATTTTGTTTGGGTGTGTGTGCAGGAAATAACTCTCATCCTGATTTACACAGAATCAGATATGTGGCTACTCAGAACTAAGTCCTATTTATTTCAACAGGATTATTCTTAAGTAAGTGATTACAGCCTCACTTTTCACTCTGAGTGCAACAGAATAGCAGGAAAACTGCAGTGATCTGCTGTGAAGTCGCTCCCAAGAAGATGGGTTTCCCTGGGTGAATTTGCTTTAACAGATCACACTGGAGTCAGCAGAGAGAGCAGAGAAAATTACCCCGCTGAATTTGTTAGCACCTTGTTAAGTAATGTGGCTTTAATGGAGTCATCCAGATATTCAAGATATACAGCTACGTGGAGCTAACTTAACAAACAAGAGCCAGCTGCCAACTTCCTTCTCTCTGCTGATTTCCTCTTTGCTCACTCCCACCCCCCTTTGGGTCTCCAGCTGCCTTAGAGTGCTAATGCTGGCACTGAGCATTTGGAAAAAAATATACATATTTGGAAACAAATGGGTGCTCACATTTGAGAGGAACTGATGCCCCCATGAATGCCCCTTTACTTCTTTCCCGCAGCTTAAAGTAGGAAGGTAGGAAATCCAGCTTCTGGTCACCCATTGCATTGGCTCAAGTGATCACACTGTCTGAACCAATACAAATACATTTGAATCCTTAAAAAAAAGTAGCTTTAGCAGTGGAGGGGGAAAATACAAATAGGAAGGAAAAACTCTGGGTTGATTTACATTGACTTATATGTCATGTATGTTATGGAGAAAGCCAGAGAGTTCCAGAAAAATGCCTACTTCTGCTTCATTGACTATGCAAAAGCCTTTGACTGTGTGGACCACAGCAAGAAATATCAACAACCTCTGATATGCAGATGATACCACTCTGATGGCAGAAAGTGAGGAGGAATTAAAGAACCTTGTAATGAGGGTGAAAGAGGAGAGTGCAAAAAATGGCCTGAAACTCAATATCAAAAAAACTAAAGTCATGGCCACTGGTCCCATCACCTCCTGGGAAATAGAAGGGGAAGATATGGAGGCAGTGACAGATTTTATTTTCTTGGGCTCCATGATCACTGCAGATGGAGACAGCAGCCACAAAATTAAAAGACACCTGCTTCTTGGGAGGAAAGCGATGACAAACCTTGACGGCATCTTAAAAAGCAGAGACATCACCTTGCCAACAAAAGTCCGAATAGTCAAAGCTATGGTTTTTCCTGTCGTGATGTATGGAAGTGAGAGCTGGACCATAAAGAAAGCAGACCGACGATGAATTGATGCCTTTGAATTGTGGTGCTGGAGGAGGCTCTTCAGAGTCCCCTGGACTGCAAGGAGAACAAACCTATTCATTCTAAAGGAAATCAACCCTGAGTGCAAACTGGAAGGACAGATCCTGAAGCTGAGGCTCCAGTACTTTGGCCATCTCCAGAAGAGAAGACTCCTTGGAAAAGACCTTGATGTTAGGAAAGTGTGATGGCAAGAGGAGAAGGGGACGACAGAATGAGATGGCTGGACAGTGTCATCAAAGCAACCAACACGAATTTGACACAACTACGAGAGGCAGTGGAAGACAGGAGGGCCTGGCGTGCGCTGGTCCATGGGGTCATGAAGAGTCGGACACGACTAAACAACTAAACGACAACGATATGTAATGTAGTTAACAGAGGCGTAGGCATCCTTCAGTCTCGAGAGACTATGGTAACATGCTCTGATTCGAGGAGTGTCCTCTCCAGAGCATGAAGCCTGGGTAAAGTAATATGGAGGATAGGCTGTTACCCAAGCAGCAGATTCCCCCTGTCCACGCTGCTGAAATGGTCCAATGGAAAGGCAAGAGCCAATACAACTGGTTCCAGCAACGTCGCAGGAGTTGGCAGAATGACACGAACTGCCTCCGGGACTCCAGCCTCCTAAAGTTTTTTTCATGAGTGGCTATAGCCTTCTCCTAGATGGGCAGCCTTTCATGGCTGACGAGCCCCACCTACCCGGCCTGCTCATTAACAGTGCGGGAGTATGATCCAACCATTAGAATTTTCCCGCCTCCCAGGTGTATGCAAATCTAATTTCCTATTTACCATATTAGGGCCAGAAATAGAATCAGAGAATTTCAGGTCCTGGGACACACTCATTTAAAGCAGAAATCCCCACCCCTAGGCTCCACCCCCAGGCCATGTGGTGGGGGAGACAAAAAGAAAGCACAGGAAAAAAACAGCAAAATGTCCGTGCAAACATACCTGGCCTTCAGCCTCAGCCTAGCTTCCTAGGGGAAAGTTAACAGAAAACAATGCAGATCAGACCATCCCAATCTCAGTTTCCTGAATTATTTGTTAATTAGTCGTGCCTGTAGATAGCTTTCTTTCTTAGCAGCCAGGAGTAAAATCACTATCTAAAAGACTCCCTGGCAGACTTCATTATCTCTGAATCCTCCACACACACTTAATGCTGCATCACTGGTTGTGAGCTTCTCTGTTCTGGTATGCATCGAGTGAGCAAGATAATGGCCATAGGATTCTGCTTTTCAAGCTTTGAGGACTAGCTAGCATAAGTGAGGTACTTCACTTTATTTTATGTAGTTCAGTAGGCTTGGCTTGTAGCAGATGCAGAATTGTTGCTACTAACTGTGCAAATTGGTTATGTGAACATTTATGAGAAGTAGGTCCCATAAATTCAGTGGGGCATATCCC